ACAAGGTTTCAGCAAGCATTGCCTGTTTGCCAATTTGACATAGAGTACGGACGTTAAAAGCTCCTATATAGAAAGGATCTCGTGGATTTAGGTGTTATTTTGTTTAATGTTTGTAGGCAGCGTGGAGCATAAGGCCCTTCGGTCAGATGACTGACAGTCAAATGGCCCGGCGACGTTTGTTTGTGCAGTGGGAAGGGGTTGGGGAGGGACATCGGTGGACGCTGAACTGCGCGGGCAAATGATACTCCCCAGTTGTTCAGGTCGAGGAAGGGGGTTTGATTGAGGTACCCACCTTGAGCCTTTGACTCAAAAGACTGACCCTCAAGGTAGTGGGAGGATGTCGGGTTTTGTTCGGGGACCTTGGCCCTAGCCTCCGACTCAAAAGTCTGACCCACGGAGCAGCAGATAGTAGGCTTTTCTTTGGGTACCCTACCCACAGTCGATGATTTAACAGTCTGACTGATCGACTGTAAGGATTGGCCTAACCCAGGGGCGCAAGGAATAAGTCATTACTGTTTCACTCCTGATGCGGCTGCGAATAACAAAACCTACTGAGTAGCACCGGACTCTGGTTTTATATGTATTTCGACCGTATTGAATAATGTACCGGCGGTCACGGTCAACCGTTGGGCGATTGGAGTGTGCGGTTTTCGGGGCCAACCTTTTCTAACCCGTCCTTCCTCGGGGGAAGGCAGCATTGCTGCTTCCATGAATATGGACATGCCGGTCGCATGAAGGAAACGCCTTACTGCCTTCACACTCTTATCACAGAGGACAGTACGATATTACCTCCAGAGAACCTCGTAGCATGATTCCTCGTAGGACGGGGTCTCACTCCTCTGGATCTGACTGCTTCCCTTCACCTTCCTGGCATGGTTCCACTTTGCGGAAAGAAGTTCCAGTCAGTGTAGTCCGCGGGGCTATTGCAGCACTCAAGCTCGACCACCACGTCAAAGTGGCAGCCTTAAGTTAGGACAGTGTCAGTAACCAGCTTATAAGTACAGCATAGGGTCTATTGCCAAATGAACTAGTGAGTGAGTATGAAACTGCGTCAGACAAGGGATCGTGCACCGACAATATGTGACTTGGCGCATAATTAACTTAGACAAAGGAATAAGAACCAAACAGAAATCAGACAGTTCGGCTACAATACCTACTTTTCTGTATCTCATTTCACACCTGTTCAATTCCTTAGTATACGAACTTAAAAGTCCTCTATTGTTTACGACTCGGGTGAACGTTTTTCTGGCTGAAACTATTTCACCCTCCAGGAACTCCGCGTGTACGCTCATTTTACGTTTTTCAATGCTCACGGCTATATTATATTTGTTATTAATACGGCTGCGCATCAGCCTACTGCGCAGCGGAACAATCGTGTGGAACAGAGCCGTGCGATTATGCCCCCACGTCGGAATCACGTCCGATTTCATCATGTGCCGGAGAAAGGTCAAATAAGGACACAGAATGTTCACACCCACTCCATGGCCAGGGCACCCCGTACACAAGCGCACAGACGGCCATCTACGCTCAACCGAGAACCAGTGTGGATGTGTGGGAGACACACTGGTTGGTTGACAGCGGATCGACCGTCAAATACGGTGACAAGTGAATCATATATATAGAAGTTTGTAATTGCGTTAATACACAGTTCCTTCAGGTCGTCTTCTTGTCTTCTGACTATAACCCAGTAGCGTCAGGGCAGGTGAAGAGATACAACAGTGGCGACGGGT